ATGCTGGCAGGTTAATTGGCTCCTTTCTAAATGGGGCCTAGTATGTATGAATGTGAGTTAGGGACCTTATTATTTTATTTATTTCAGGTACTTACATAGCTCCATCAATTTACACAGCGCTTTACATATATATTGTACATTCACATCAGTCCCTAACCCTCAAGGGGCGTACAATCTAAGGTCCCTAACTCACATTCATACATACACATACTAGGGCCAATTTAGACAGGAGCCAATTAACCTACCAGCATGTCTTTGGAGTGTGGGAGGAAACCGGAGCCCCCCGAGGAAACCCGCGCAAGCACAGGGAGAACATGCAAACTCCATGCAGGAGGTGCCATGGACGGGAATCGACCACTAACCACTAAGCCACTGTGCCGCCCTTATAGATTTGTCAAGGGTTCCAAAGACATCATGTGCATCATACCTATAAAACAAATCATCAGACTGCCTCTGTCATGCCTCTTGTGCCCTTAAAATGAATACTTTTCTTTATATAGTGCATGAGTCCCACCTTCCTGCCCATGCGTTGTGCCGCTGGTGCCTGTGGCAGAGTCCTGAGTGGTACAGAAAGCTGCTCTCCAGCCTGCTCCCGGCACACCCACTGTGCAGCCTGCATCCAGCATCCCCGCTGTGGCTGGTGTGCCCGCAAAGAGGGCAATGGAGAAGGAAGATGCATGGAAGGAGGTCCCAGTGGACCCACACAAGGTAGGATACATAGAATTATAACTGTGCATGCAGAAGGGGCAAGTCATCCCAAAACATCCCAGTACTTAGTACTGCTAGCTATCAAAAGGGACACAATGAAAAAAGCTTAATAAAAACAGAGGTCTTTGTTACATTTTCAAATGTATGCATGTAAAAGCAAGTTACCTGTACCAAATTGCCTCTGTAAAGGGTATCCCTATCTTTATATATTAAAGATTTCAGATGAAGTAGACCTGTGCCTGTTTATATACACTATATTGCCAAAAGTGTTGGGGCGCCTGCCTTTACATGCACAACCCCCCTCCACCAAACTCTACACTTGGCATAATACAGTCAGGCAAGTACCCTTCTGGCAATTGCCAAACCCAGACACGTCCATCAGATTGCCAGACAGAAAAGCGTGATTAGTCACTCCAGAGAACACATCTTCATTGCTGTAGAGTCCAGTGGCGGCGTGCTTTACACCACTGCATCTGCCGCTTTGCATTGCACTTGGTGATGTAAGGCTTGGATGCAGCTGCTCGGCCATGGAAACCCATTCCATGAAGCTCTCTACGCACTGTTGTTGTGCTAATCTGAAGGCCACATGAAGTTTTGAGGTCTTTAGCTATTGACTCTGCAGACAGTTGGCGACTTCTGCACACTGTGCGCTTCAGCATGCGCTGACCCCGCCCTGTCATGTGACGTGGCCTACCACTTTGTGGCTGAGTTGCTGTTGTTCCCAGTTTCTTCCACTTTGTTATAATCCCACTAACAGTTGACCGTGGAAAATTTTGTAGCCAGGAAATGTCACAGATGGACTTATTCCACAGGATGCAACCTATCACGGGACCACGCTTGGTGTCACTGAGCTCCTGAGAGCGACCCATTCTTTCACAAATGTTTGTAGAAGCAGTCTGCATGCCTAGGCGATGATTTTATACACCTGTGGCCATGGAGGGGATTGGAACATCTGAATCACATGATTTGGAGGGCTGGCCCAATACTTTTGACAATATATTGTAGATGTGATAATCAGTTCTGCACAAACCTTTTGCTATATAGTGTACATGTGAAAGTAATCTTTTTTTAATGTGAATAATATTATCAGTATGTTAATGGGTTCAAAACCTTGTTTTAATGTATAGTTTGTAATTCTAGTTGTTCATGAGGACACATATACTGCATTCACTCATTTAGTAAAAGTCGAAAGTAATCTTTCCTTAGAATCCTAATTTTGCGGAGTTTGATTTTAGTTCTGTTCATGCCAAAGTATTATTTTGGTACAAAGGGGCTAAGGCTGGCCATAGATTATCCAATTTTCTTGCGATTTTTGGTTTAGATTTACCAAAAACCATATAATAGGAGGTCGAATCTAACAACACTTTCAATTGTATCCAATTAGACAGGCTCTTGCACTACATAGTTGAAGGTAAATCTAAAGGAAATTGGGCAGAAATTGGACAGAAAATTGTATAGTGTATGGCAAGCCTTAGGCTGGCCATACATTACACAATTATCTGGAGATTTTTAGTTTAGATTTACCAAAAACCATACCGGATATCGTATGTACTCTCCAGCGCCTCAGGATGTGCACAGCCAAAAGAGAAGCCAAGGGTACCAGGACAGCGACAACCAAAGGAAATGTTCCAGGGGTGCAGCCCTCCTCAGATGAGGAAATCAGCCACTGGATAGAGAGAAAACAGGTGGCGCACAAACCTAGTGCATTATCCAAGGTTTATTGTAGGAATGAAATAATAAAAACATACTCACAGACGAAGCAGGTATCTAAAAAGCATAGAAGAATGACAATGGCCACAACGGCGGGCAAGGTGTTCTCACTGTCAGTGCGGTCAAATGGCCGACGCGTTTCGGGGACGAATCCCTTTCCTTAGAGCTGATGACCAACCTCTGATGCTGATGTATGATGTATGGACAGAAAGAGCCTCGCTGTTGATGCCTGAGAACACCTTGCCCGCCGTTGTGGCCATTGTCATTTTTCTATGCTTTTTAGATACATGCTTCGTCTGTGAGTATGTTTTTATTATTTCATTCCTACAATAAACCTTAGATAATGCACTAGGTGTGTGCGCCACCTGTTTTCTTTCTTACCAAAAACCATATAATAGGAGGACAAACCTAAACAACACTTTCAATTGTATCCAATTAGGCAGGCCCTTGCACTACACAGTTGAAGGTAAATCTAAAGGAAATTGGGCCGAAAATTGGAAGATAATTGTATAATGTATGGCCAGCCTATGTTCCTAATTGAAGTTCTGGTTTTAGGTATGGGGGAGCAATGCAGTTCTAGGGAGTCTGACTGGGCTTTCATGTCCTGCCCGCCTGAAAACGAGTGTCTGAATCAGCATCATGACTGCAATGAGACTCAAAACTGCAGCGACCTCCTTCACGGATTTAAGTGCACATGCAAGAAAGGCTATACCCTGCACACGTAAGTAAACAGCCCTAGTCTTACGAGAAAATCAGTCTATTGTTTTTGGATGATCTGATGAATTGGCCAATGACAGCAACTAGATTACTTACTCCTCTGACTTGTTCACTTGTGACTGTACATTTTAGTAGGTGATTTTTCTCGCATCCACCTGCAGAACAGGCGTTAATCCATGTGCGGTGCTGCATTTTCTTCTATCTCGTTCTGTTTTGTCCTATAGCATTACAGGCCTGTGTCACCCCGTCTGTGAACATGGCTGTGTGAATGGAACCTGCGTGGAGCCAAACAGCTGCCGCTGTGACTTTGGCTATGTGGGAGAGAACTGCTCAGTGGCCTGCCGCTGTAATAAACATAGTGACTGTGAGGGTCTCGGAAGGGAAGATGTGTGTAAGCAGTGCCACAATAACACCATGGTATGTGCTTTTTGTATTTTTATAATATCTCTGTTTGGCATATTATGAAGAATTTGTGCTTGGAAAGCCGTAGCAAATGAGAAATCATAAATGTGCTCCCTTCTTCAGGGGCCTACATTTTAGCTCTGAAGAAGGGAGTATGTCTCCCAAAACGCGTCAGTATACCTCATTTAGGTCTCCCATCACTTGGGACCGTCACCACTGACTCTTTATCTCTGTTTTAATCCCCTTTGGTTTGTGAGTATGCACTTTTATGCTTTTTAATAAACTCGTGTTTCACCACGGTAATGCACGAAGAGAGTGCGCCCTGTTTTTGCTTCTCTTTACCATGATCCACTTTAGTTGGGTGCATCTTCAGTTTTTCCTTTTTATTTGATTATATATAAACTGAAGCAGAGCAAAATTGTTGCCCATAGAAACCACATTTCACTTTAGTTTCTCTGTGGGGTAAACCATGGATTCTTTCAGATTTTATACATCAGTTTTAGAATTTTTATCCTTGTGTGTGTTGCCTTGTAGGAACCAGTTTAAGTCACTTTTGTTCTAGAGAATCAAGAATTTGATTGTGCTGCTATGGCCATACCATCATTTTAAATGAATGATGATAGATATACTGACAGATCTGCAGGTGACCTGCATGGCATCGGTGATCTGCTAATCACTGGTGCAATGCTTTCCAGGCTCCTGCAGACAAAAATAATGAATGCACATATTTTTACCTGAAAAAAATGCATTTATTATTTTTTTTCTAAAAGGTGAACTTATCCTTTAAATATTTTTTTTAAATTATGTACTTTGTGTCAGGTGACTGCTGTAAAAAGTGCAAGATGGGAGCTCTCATTCAGTGATGTGGCACATATGGAAGGAGCTGTTTTTAACATTTTGAGTGTCTCTTCTGTCTCCTCCAGGGAGAGCACTGTGAAAAGTGCAAACCCCTCTTTGTGGGATCAGCTATTAATGGAGGCACATGCCGGCCCTGTCTGGATTTTTGCCGTGGGAACAGCGAAGTGTGTATCACTATGGAGGAGCATGAGAGAGCCCAGAGAGAACCAGAGAAGTATTCTCCTTAGATCCAGAGAAGGTGCGTGTTGGATAAACGTACAAAGACACATTATAAGGGAACTGCTTTTGGTATCTTAAATTGTCTTCTGCTGCAGCTTACCAGTCCTTAGATCAGGAGGCTGCATTCGTTTTTTTTTTTTCTGTTCACCTGGTGATCCTGCCAATAACATGCTTCCTGTCGTAGAGTCACAGAGGTGAACTGGGCAAGGATTTAATTTCTGAGCACCATAGTTGTCTGTTCTCTACATGAAATAAGGAGCTCACTGGATATTTAGCAAGATCAACAAACATTTTCTGTTTCTTTTTTACCAATAAAGCAGATTTAACAAAATGCTTTCAGTCGTGTAAGGGAGCAAAAGAGAGCAAACAGCATTGTTAGGTTTCATCAGGGATGGACTGACCATTTGGAAACTCGGGCACTGCCCGAGGGCCCGGGGTTAGTAGGGGGCCCCAGGAGGTGCCCCTGGTACCTTTTTCATAGGCTTTTTTGAGTTTGGGCAAGGACACAGGGGCCCCATGATCCCCTATTGCCCGGGGGCCCCATGAATTGTCAGTCTGCCCCTGGGTTTCATATACACTTTAAAATGCCCACACACATTTGTCTCATTTCACAATGTTCTTTATGATTTACCGATATACGTAGGGCAAGGGTCAACCCATTCATTTATATCTAATCAGACTGTAGTGTGTGGCCGGCTTGCTTTATATCTGATCTCTTTTTGGTAGGTTTCCAGGCAGGCTTTCATAAAGGATTAAAATGTAAAGGAATATAGCGAGCGCTCATATATTCAGCTGCTAGAACACTCAAAGGAATCACCAAAACCTTGTAACATAAATCATATAAGTATAGTGCAGCGCTGGACTATACTTATATGTTTCATAAAGGATTAAAAACCCGACTTACATATAGACAATAGTGAAATTAATAAAATAAAGATGAAGACTTAGGGCTCATGTACACTGCAGCTGATAAACTCACGTTCAGGAGCTTTTCTGCAGTTTTTTTTTTCAGCAGCCCTGAACTCTCCCTAATGTTTTCCTATGTGTCCATGTACACTATGTCGTTTACAGGCAGCTGAGTTTACAGTCATTTTTTTTAATGCAGAAAACTGGCGTTAAGCAATAGATTTTATCAGCATTTCAAACGCAAAACGCTTGTAAACGCGGCTAACCACATTTATAGGCCTTTGCGTTTGAAAATTTTTTTTAACTCTTCTATTTCCAGATGCTGTCTAGAGTCTTTTTTCACCATGAAAAATGCATGCAAAGCGTTTTCCCGGTACTCAAATGGACCCGGTACACCATACTTTGAGGTTTTGCATGAAAAAAATTATGTTAGACACTGCTGCAATAATTTCTGCACAGAAATGATCTGGAACACATCCAAACACCACAATAAAAAAGACAGCTAATCTCAACAAATACTGCTTTCTCTGCTTTTGCTCTCTCTATTTCTTTCAAAATGTCTGAAATAGTTAATTTTTTTACTGTTTTTCAGTGCATTTTGGGCATTTTGGAAGGTCTCCTGATATTATCTTTAAAAAAAAAACGCTTCTAAACACAAATGCGGTATGCAAATGCGGCTAAACAAACTTTTTTTTAACCCCTTGGCGCCGGCACCTCCCAGCCCTTTAAGGGTTTCAGAAGCCATGAAGCAGGGCGGGGTTTTAGGGTCGTGTGACCGCCGTGATTCGCTGTCACGGCGGTCACATGATCAGGAAAGGTCCCGATCGCAAGAGGAGATTGGGACCTTTCTGTGAGCACCAGACATGTGTGCTGGGAATGCGAAGGGCGGGCGCTCTCAGCACATGTTTTTTTTTAATTGCACGCACATGTGTGGCCGCTCGGCGTCAAGGACCAGACGTCGGGAGGCCGCACATTTGCATGTGGCCGGCGCAAAGAGGTTAACCTACGTTTTCCAGCAGTCAGTTTCCATTGTTCAGAAGTGTCCTGTGTACATGGGGCCTTATAGCTAGCTACAGATGCACTAGCATCATTGGGTTTTTCACAGCATCCTCACTGGAACACAGCGAAAAATGACAGCTTATGTAGTATGATTTGCTTGCTCATGTGATAAGCCGCAAGCAGGTCAAGCTCACTTTAAACTATTAATACGTTAAAAACCTGCATGAATATGGAGTAAAACTTACAAACTTCTTATAGATATTATAATTATTATACAGTATTTATAAAGCGCCAATGGTTCGCTCAGCGCTGTACATTACAAAGGGGGACAGAACATGTGACAGAACAATACCAATACAATGCAAAACATGAGGGGATCGAGGGCCCTGCTCCTTGGAGCTTACAATCTAGGAGGGAGGGGATGGTGGCACAGGAGGAGATAGCTGTGGGGGATGGAGTGGTAGGAAGAGTGGAGGAGGTCGGCAGGTTAGCAGGGGGTTGGGTAGGCTTCCCTGAAGAGATGGGTTTTCAGGGTGCGCCTAAAGGAGAGGAGAGTAGGTGATGGTCTGATGGGTTGGGGCAGGGAGTTCCAGAGGATGGGTGACACCCTGGAGAAGTCCTGGAGGCGGGCATGGGAGGGGAGACCAGGGAACTAGAGAGAAGGAGGTCTTGTGAGGAGCGGAGAGTGTGTGCTGGGTGGTACTTGGATATTAGGTCGGTGATGTAGTTCGGGGCAGTATGGTGGACGGCTTTGTACGTCAGTATTAGGATTTTGAATTTGATCCGTTGTGCAATCGGAAGCCAGTGGAGGGATTGGCAGAGGGGGGTGGCGGAGATGGAGCGGTTGGAAAGGTGAATGAGTCTGGCAGCCGTATTCAGGATGGACTGAAGCGGGGATAGCCAGCGACAAGGCAGGCCAGTGAGGAGGGAGTTGCAGTAGTCCAGTCGTGATATGATGAGGGAGTGGATGAGCTGTTTAGTGGTTTCTGGGGTTAGGAAAGCGCGTATTTTGTCGATTGTTGCGGAGGTGGAGTCTGCACGAGTTTGTTAAAGATTGAGTACAGGTTAGATAGAGTACAGGTGATAATTAAACCCAGTTCTGCATGAATTCAAAGGAAAACAGTTCATTTGCGGTGTGACACTTCCTAAAGGTATGCTTCTCTTAAGAAATATTACACTTAAAGTTAACCAGGTTGCTCAATATTTTCGCTTGCTAACATCTTAAACTGGACATATATTATACATTTTTCCTTTAGATTTACCAAAACCATATAATATGAGGGTATACCTAAACGCTTTCATTTTGTATGCAATCAGGCAGGCCTTTGTTAAAGGTAAATCTAAAGGAAATTGAAGAAGAAAATTGTATAATGTATGGCCTGCTTTAATTTACTGGTGCCTTTATCTTTTGAATGGCCCTGGATTTGAGGCTGTGTAAATGTTGACCAGGGGTTCCCTGGTCCTGAGCTTCTCTCGTTTTCTGAACGTCCAGCAGCTACATCTCTATGTTCTGCAGAAGGTGGCTCAAGTCCTTTCCAAAATCCCTTATGAGAGGCCTGCTCAATATAGCTGTACTGGATTTTATACAACCCAGATTAAAGAGTAACTCCATTTTGGTAGAGAAAAACCACAGTCCCCTCATGGTGATCAATGTGATTGCAATGATTTTAGAAAACTTATAGATTCCTACTGACTTCTCCTCTGTAGGAATAGCTCTTTGTTTGACCATGTCCTGTGCAGACTGATTCTTAATAGGGTACTGGTTTATTTTAAGCAGGTGATGCAGTTTTAGTGTTCTGATGAAAAAAGTTACAGGGTCTGAACATATTAGAAGTAATTAACACTTGGGGAGTGAAGGGATGGACGCTGCTCAACCAACCCCAGGAGTCCAACATTGAGAAATGCCCACCGGGGCGGCGAAACATGTCAGCCGCATAGCCAGAATGGTGGCTGAGGCCATTCATCAACATTGGATTCCTGGGGTCAGTTGAGCAGCGTCCATCCCTTCACTTGTATTGGCTGACACTGGAATCGCTCGGACTCATGTTCCCCTCTGCTCACTTGCTGGTGGGGTGATCCTTTTCCTTCCATCCAAAGCTTGGAATGGCGTCATAAAGTAAACCCTTGGGGAGTATTTCACCAAAAATGACATTTTTGTTGCAAATTATGCCTAAAATCTCACGTGTATCTTACTGTAGTCTTCTGGGAAAATCAATGAGCCAGTCACACAAGTAGTACTTTTTGGAGGCAGTTTGCAGACCAGCAGTATACAGACGGTTCCCAGGTTGCCATATTGCATTGATTTTACAAAAACTTAGAGCTACATTATTATTATTATTATTATACAGTATTTATAAAGCGCCAATAGTTCGCTCAGCGCTGTACATTACAAAGGGGGACAGAACATGTGACAGAACAATACCAATACAATGCAAAACATGAGGGGATTGAGGACCCTGCTCTTTCGAGCTTACAATCTAGGAGGGAGGGGATGGTGGCACAGGAGGAGATAGCTGTGGGGGATGGAGTGGTAGGTAGAGTGGAGGAGGTTGGCAAGTTAGCAGGGGGTGGGGTAGGCTTCCCTGAAGAGATGGGTTTTCAGGGTGCACCTAAAGGAGAGGAGAGTAGGTGATAATCTGATGGGTTGGGGCAGGGAGTTCCAGAGGACGGGTGACACCCTGGAGAAGTCCTGGAGGCGGCCATGGGAGGAGGAGACCAGGGAACTAGAGAGAAGGAGGTCTTGTAAGGAGCGGAGTGTGCGTGTTGGGCGGTACTTGGATATTAGGTCAGTGATGTAGTTCGGGGCAGTATGGTGGACGGCTTTGTATGTCAGTGTTAGGATTTTGAATTTGATCCGTTGCACAATCGGAAGCCAGTGGAGGGATTGGCAGAGGGGGGTGGCGGAGATGGAGCGGTTGGAAAGGTGAATGAGTCTGGCAGCCGTATTCAGGATTGACTGAAGCGGGGATAGCCAGCAGCGAGGCAGGCCAGTGAGGAGGGAGTTGCAGTAGTCGAGTCGTGATATGATGAGGGAGTGGATGAGCTGTTTAGTGGTTTCTGGGGTTAGGAACGTGCGGATTTTGGCGATGTTGCGGAGGTGGAGTCTGCATGAGCTTGTTAAAGATTGGACTTGGGGCTGGAAGGATAGGTTGGAGTCCAGAATGACACCAAGTACATGAAATGGAAAGGCAATTTAAATAGCAATAAATACAATATGGCCTGTGTAGCAATTATATATGCTGTACTATTTTTTTTATTTGCTATTTCTTTTCCATAAAAGCGGAGTTACCTTTAAGGTAAACCAAGCAGATCACCTGGCATTAGCACAGCATTGCAGTGGACATACGCTTCTAAAATCATATTAAAAAGCTCTCTAAAAGATGATTAAAGCGGAGTTCCACTCACATTGTAAAAAAATAAAAGTCAACAGCTACAAAACCTGCCACTTGCCTGTCCCACGATCCCGCGGGTGCCCACGCCGCAGCCGTTTCACTGGCCGTCCTGTATTCCAGGCACCGGCATCTTCAGTGTGGGCACCTGGCTGTGACAGCTTGCGGCTTCACAGCCGGGTGCCCACTGCGCATGCGCGAGTAGCACTGCGCTTTCTGATGGCCCCGTCGTCTTCTGGGACCTGTGACGTGTCCCACAAGACTACGGGGAGGGAGGGTAGGAGGACAACTTCCGCTTCTGATCGCCTAGGCGATCACAGCAGAAGTGAGAGTGGGTACCTGTCAATTTCGGGAACCCGCTCCCCAAATGTGCGAAGGAAACCTCCTTCACAAGGGCGCTCATGACCGTACAACGTGAACTGTCAGCTTTTTTATGTGGCTCATAAATCATATTTATTGTTCTGTCTATCATGATAGATGCATCTCCGTAGAAGTGAACGACATTTGTCCGCACATGCTTAGAAAACTTGGGACTGGCTGATAAATTTCCTACAGCACAGGTGTCAAACACAAGGCCCGCGGGCCAAATCCAGGCCATTTCATGTGGCCCTTGCACCTCTCCTGCAGGTACCCCCTGGTCTCCGCCCCCACCTTGTCTCAGCAGTCGGCAGCAGAGAGGATAATAGAACTCCTCTGCCAAATTCTGCACCTCTCAGTGCAGCTGCAGCACCCCCTCATCTCCTCCTCCCCTGGTCTCAGCATTCAGCAGACTCTGGTAACTGACTCCACTCCTCCTCTGGACCTTCTCCAGACCCTGCACTTTATGCTTTCCAGCTCTGCCCCCAAACGCGATGCACAGTGATGTTAGGGAGGGCGTGGGATTCTTCTGATGTAATGGGGGGTGGGGTGCCGTGGACATCTAGTCTTACAGATACAACCAGACCCTTAGAGGGCCACCATAATGCTGATATGACCCACAATGAAATGGAACTCGACACCCCTGTCCTACAGTAACTGTGTGGCTCCCTGTTGGCCACATGGCACAGATCTGCCTTTGGCCTGGACAGGTGAGTATAGGACCTTTGGAGGCAGAAGGTTGCAATTCTGATTCCTTGAATGTATTTTTGTGTAGCTGGCCTGTCCCACAACCATTGCCTCCCTTCTGTTTCTGGAAGTCTTCTTTAGATATCCGCATCTAAAAGGAAACACCCGTGTGTGTGTATGTTCCTGCTCATGGCTTTTTCTGACCATGAACATACTCAGTGCCCTGCAAGCCATCTCCTGACAGACAGCTGCAGGATCCAATTGCTTACCTATCTTCACCTTGTCTCTGCCACCAGCAAGTTCGGAGAGTGTTGTGGTTCGTGGAGGACCTGGTGGCTGTGAGGACACCAGTGATTGCTAGTTGAGGGGGGCTATCCTGTAACATTTCTTTTTTCTTTATCTGGTGCATTTGCCCATAAATTGCTTGATTTTCTTTCTCCAGATCCCCACTTGGGTGACTCAGGGCCCCACAGAGGACACAGCAGTCTGTGTGCATTGTCAGAATAACAGCCTTGGGGACAAGTGTGAAGGCTGCCTGCCCGGATACTTCCTCCTGGACAAACGCTGCACCAAGTGAGTGACATCAGACCCTTGCTGGAGGAGCTTACACTCTAACATACCTACCAGAGTCACTTAGTCACTGTCTCCCAGGGCCTGGCTTGCACATCTTTAAATATGGGAAATTATCTCAGAACCTCAGCTTTGCAAGTCAAGAGTCATAACCATTGTTATTAATTTAAAGGATGGAAAAAAAAAGTAATTTAAACTAACAAACAATCTACTGATTCCTGCTACTTGTTGTTGACGGATATGAGCCCATAGCAGTGGCTGCCAAGCCCGTATAATGCATTTACAGGCTGTCGGTGGCTGCAGATATTTGTGGCTGTTGCATACCCATATGGAAGAAAAATATATCTGAAATATATTTTAAAAATATTCCCAAATATATTGACATATTTGAAATGCTACAATTTTGGCCATATTTAATATATTTCAAAATATATTGTACTACACACACACACAATTTTAAAATATATTTTACTATTGTAAACACACACACTGCACACACACACACACTGCATGTTGAAATGCGTTTTTATTACAAAACATTTTTAAAAATACTTTTCAAGTATACTGTGTCTTTAAAAATACAAATCTACATTTTTGGAATGCATTTACAAATATATGTAAAGCTATATGTTAAAATGACTTTTTGATAAAAAAAAATCTGAAGAATATATTTAAAAAAAAAATATTTTTTAAAATATATATTTTGTAACTATATTCTTCAGAATTTTTTTAACATATAAAAAAGTCATTTTAACCTCTTCACGCTGGCCGAATGCAAATGTGCGGCCCCCCAGACGCCGAGCAGCCGCACATTCGCATTCTATTAAAAAAAAAAAAACATATGTGCTGAGAGCACGCACCCTGCGCGCTCCCAGCACACATGTCCGGTACTCACGGAAAGGTCCCGATCTCCTCTTTCGATCGGGATCTTTCCCGCTCATGTGACGGCATGTCACGGCGGTCACATGACTCTAAACCCCGCCCCCGGCTTCTGAAACCCTTAAAGGGCTGGGAGGCGCCGGTGCGAAGGGGTTAACATACATTTTTACATATCTGTAAATGCATTCCAAAAATGTAGATTTATATTTTTAAAGACAGTATATTTGAAATGTATTTTTAAAAATATTTTTCATATATTTTGTAATAACCTTTTCAACATGCAGTGTATATATATATACAGTATGTGTGTATATATATATATATACATACATACATACATACATACATACATACATACATACACACACACATACATTTATTGAAATATATTGAATATGGCCAACATTGTAGCATTTCAAATATATGTCAATATATTTGAGAAGAATATTTTTTAAATATATTCCAAATATATTGTTCTTCCATATGGGTAGTCAGAGATCACTTGCGGTTTTCACGGCGGCTGGATGTACTTTGTGTGTTCGATGGCTGTGCGAACAGGCACACATAGCTCAGCAGACACAGCTTTTTGCTCAGAGCTGTCAAACCCAGCAGCAGGAATCAGTAGATTTCTGCTGCTGGTATTTGCACCCTGGCTCAATATGGTGCAAATGCAGTCTTTGGGTGTCGGCTCATACTTGTTTTCTCATGTCCCTTTAATGCCAACCAGAGTTCTCCTAAAGTACTTCCATGTATTGATAGTGGCATTCATCCCTTCCTACATCAAACAATGCAACAGCACAGTCAGTTCTTAAAGGATAAGTTCACGTTTTAGAACATGTAACATGTTTCCACTGCTGCTGCCCAATCCCCCCCCCCCCTTGTGACAGCAGTACGAGGAGAAATTCCCTGTATTAGGTTTTTTAAATTAGTATGGCCGTATAGTGCTCCGCTCACACAGCCGTGTCATTCACTCACCGAGTTCTGTGAATGAACTACAAATACCAACATTTTTTGTGAATGTCAGCTTGTAGTTCTCAATGAACTACCCTGAGGCTGTGGTAGTTCATTCAGTCCTCTCGTCAGTGTTCAACTGTCTGCTTGTATGAGGTACGAACACACAAATTCAACTGACAGTGTGCTGGAGACCTGTGTGGCTAACCGCTGTTGCAGTGCTTTACAGGCTCAAGAAAAAAAAAAAAAGCTAATTTTTTTTACCTGCAAAAAGATGTGCATTTATTTTTTATATTTTCTTGTGATCTTATCCTTTAAGTGGGAAATAAGCCTATATTAATGCAGTATCAAAAGCTGCTTATATCAGACTCTTTGTGATTATTTTTCTTAGAATGTTTTAGTAATGCTGTTGTAGGCTGGGTTCACTTCTTGCATTGAGGTGATGTGCATGGTACTGTTGCATGCACCCATTAAGGCTAGGTTCACATCTGTGCGGGTGGTGCCACTGCGGATCCGCACAAAAATCCGTGCAACTGCGCCACCCACACAGAAGAATGCGGACCAGCGGGCGGGTGCCTTTAGTTCTAATGTCATGCCGCCAGCACTGGAAAACACAACCGTACTGGGAACCGAGGTTCCTGTACGGGCTGCGGTTTCAGAAGAAGTGCAGGGACTTCTTCCCTGCGTGTCACGGGGCATGGGAGTCCATTCAAATGAATGGGTTCTCGTACCGCGGAAAACACGGCCTGTACGGCCGCATAAAAAATGTGAACCAGGGGTAACAAATGGGCTGCTTTAACGCGATACACATTTGGTATTGCAGCACATTGTAAAGGCGTGACACAGGTGTAAATGTTGTCTCATGTCAAAATTCTATTTAAATGCAAAGCTTTGCTTACAAGTAATAATAATAATAATAATTAATAATAATAATTCTGCTTCTCTGAATTTCCTCTGTCTTCCATAGATGTCAGTGTAATGGACATGCGGATACTTGCAATGAACTTGATGGCACAAATTGTCCTTGTAGTAACAACACAGAGACCCAAAATTGTCAGAACAGTCCCCAGAGTGACAAGAAGGAGTGCTACAAATACCAGGTACAGCCTATGGGTGGGGTAAAGGACACTGTAGAAAATTAAGTGATACATAGCATGCTGTAAGGGACCACCTGGCAGCACCTCTAGCAACCCACTGGTCAGGCTTCCCCAGGGCGCGGAGTCTAAGTTCCGGAGCACTTGTTCACCAGGGCCCCTGATGGTGGGGATGGACTTGGAGCGCCTCGAGACCAGGTCGCGACTACCGGGTATACCCACCAGTGGTAGAGGAGTCCGCCAGAGGCTCCCGCAGGGTAAGAGTCTGATGTGAGGAGGCTGGGGGGTCCCGGTGGGATGGATGAGCTAAAGCTAGGTCAGACAAGCCAAGTCGGTAGCCGGGGGGGGGGGGGGGGGGGGGGGGGTGCGCGGTACAAAGCAGCAGGCAAAGAATGGTCAGGTCACACGCCAGGTCAGTAACAGGAGATCAGATCTATACAGGGACATTCAGGAGCGAGGTCAGGCAAGCCAAGGGTCAGGACAGGAGAAAGCAGCAAAGGTCAAACAATCCGGGTCAATAGTACTCACAACACAGGTTACAGGGAACAGGAATCACAGGAAGACCATTTGGCAACCAGTGACAGCACAAGGGGGATTTAAATATCGCGCCCTGTGCTGTCATTGGTGCCAGGCGCGCACCCGCAAACGCCAGTGCGCATGCGTGAACTCCGTCGCCGCAGCTGGCCGGGACCTAGCGCCCGCATCCCCGCATGAGAAGGCCTAGTGCGCATGCACCGGGACCAGTGCCGCGGCGATCCCTGACACATGCATTCAGTCTGATTTGACATTTATTATTTTTACTTAGTAAAACGGAGCAAAGAGTAAAGTGCAGTAAATCTAGTAACCAGTCAGAACTGATCCTGTATAGAGAGAAATAAACAGAAGATGCACCGGCCTAGTGCATTACCTTAGAAGTATGTTTATGGAATGTTAAAAATAGGTATTGTACTCACAAATAGTCAAATAAAAGGCACATCATGAAGGAACAGCTCTGTCCAATTCGCACTGCGTGTCTGTCTAATAAGAATTCTGGACATCCAAAAGACTGATGCGGTTTTAGGACTAGCCTCTTCCTCTTCCACGCCTTGCTGCCCTCAAAGGACCAGGGGGAGTCCAAATGTATTGACTAGAGAGAAATAAACAGAGGGCGCACCGGCCTAGTGCATTACCTAAAAGTATGTTTATTGAATGTTAAAAATAGGTATTGTACTCACAGCTCTGAGGAAGAGGCTAGTCCTCGAAACGCGTCAGTGGCCAGAATTTGGATGTCCAGAATTATTATTACAGACAGACACGCAGTGTGAATTGGACAGAGCTGTTCCTTCATGATGTGCCTTTTATTTCTTGACTGTTTGTCAGTACAATACCTATTTTTAACATTCAATAAACATACTTTTACAGTAATGCGCTAGGCCGGTGTGCACTCTGTTTATTTCTCTCTATTCAGTACATTTGGACTCCCTGGTCCTTTGAGGGCAGCATGGCGTTCCTATCCCAAGAATTTCGTTATGTGGTCCCTAATCACATTGGGGTTTATTTACTAAAGCTGGAGAGTCCAGAATCAGACTCCCTTCTACATAGAAACCAATCAGCTTCCAGGTTTCATTGCCAAAGCTTCATTGAACAAGCGGAGGTTAGAAGCTGATTGGTTTCTATGCAGAAGGGAGTCTGATTTTGGACTCTCCAGCTTTAGTAAATAAACCCCATTGAGTCCAGTATCTGGGTTTTCCACTTCTACACTGAGAATTCATCCTGTACCAGTGTGGTTTCAGTAAAGTGAAAGCTGATACAGGTTACTTCACCTTCCACATAAGTAATTAGTAGAGATATTTAACACTGACTAAATTTATTATTTATTTATTATTTAAAATATAATTTTCTTTATCGCACATTGATACAGGAATTCTGATACTGTTGGGTTGTTCTGCTGCCTACAAGGCCAGAGCCATGGCATAGCTCTGGGTGTGACCATGTCTCTGAAGAACCAGAAGGTCCCTCATGTTTGGATCACAGGGCACATTTTTAGTATTTCTGTTCCTGATGGTTTCTCTGTGGGAGGGGTTAATGCTGCAGAATTGTCTTCCGATTCTTAGTTGATTGGGCTAAGACCATCAGAAGGGATCTGATCCTGTGAGTTTAGAGTGTTTGAAACTTTTGCCCTGAACTACAGTGTGGATGGGTTGTTAGAGGTCTCTCGTCTCATTTCCCATTTGAGTTTTCTGTCAGTTAACATGAGGTGGACTCTTTGGCTAAAGGGTTGGTCTGCGAAACTACCATGCAAAAAGCATTTGCTTTGCATTCCTTTTGAGGGTCTCTTTGGAGCTGCTCTAGACATCCTCATTAAGGATGTCATCGGAAGTAAGAAAAAACATCTGTTCTAGCAGAAGAAGCCAAGGGCTCAGTCGGCTCACTCCTCCTTAACCACTTGCCCTCCAGAAAATGCACCCCCCCCCTTCCTGACCAGGCCATTTTTTGTGATATGGCGCTGCGTTACTTTAACTGACAATTGCGCGGTCATGCAATGCTGCACCCAAATTAAATTTAGGTCCTTTTTTCCCCCCACAAATGGAGCTTTCTTTTGGTGGTATTTGATAACCTTTTTGGGGGGGGGGGGGGGGGGGTTTGCGCTATAAACAAAAAAAGACTGCCAATTTTGAGAAAAAAAAAACAATATTTTTGACTTCCTGCTATAAAACATATCTAGGAAAGAAAATTAAAACTAATTTTAAACAAAAAAAGCCTGACAATTTTGAGAAAAAAAACTATTTTTGACTTTTTGCTATCAAACATATCTAGTAAAAAAAATTTAAAAAAATCAAATTTCGTCATAAATTTAGACCAAAATGTATTCTGCTCCATGTCTTTGCTAAAAAAAAATCCCAATACATGTAAATTAATTGGTTTACGTGAAAGTTAAAGGGTCTACAATTGGCGGTATATATACTGAAATATAAGAAAATGTTTTTTCTTATACTAGTAAGGGCGGCAACCAGCGACTACGGTGGGCATTCTGACACTGGGGGGGAAACTGTCACTGACATCCCCAGTGACACTAATATAGTGATCAGTGCTAATAAAAAGCACTGACACTGTACTAATGACACTGGGCACTAATGACACTGGTCATCTGGGGTGCTCAAAGGGTTAACGGTGTGCTGTTTTACTGTGTGCAGTGTGTGTGTGTTTAACTGTGTAAGCACATTGCTTTGTAATACAGAGCAATACAAAGCAGTGTGCAGGATCTGACAAGGGAGAGATCTGTATTGTTTACATACAGACCTCTACCCCATCAGTGATACTCAGCAATTGCCGGGTGTTGGCGGGAAATCACTGGCCAGGACCCGGTGATCGACAGCTGAGGCTACCAATGGTGGCCGCTTCCTACCTGGCAATGCAAAATCACACACACATTATATATATATATATATATATATATATATATATATATATATATATATATATATATATATATACATATACACACACACATGTGATTTTGTGCACCCCTGCTGCCCTGTAGCAGTATTTCGGCTATAGGGTGGCAGGAAAGCGGTTAAAGGCCAAAAAATATATTTATTTTTTAATCCTAAATTTCCAAAGCCAAACTCAAGTCTGGCTCTCATTCAAACCCGGACTGCCAAGTGCCCCATACCATCTGATGAATCTGTCTCAGCATGAGGGACGCACACCCACTTTCCAAAGTGCAGGGATGTCTGTTAGCCTTTGGTGATGTATGGGCAACCAGCTTTTCAAATTCTTGGATGCAGGAGGTAATTTCCAAGGTCTACAAGCTAGAATTTTCAACCTACCTGTGTCACCACACAGCTTAGCAGATCTCTTTACAGGCCTAGCATATCTTTTAGAGCTGGGTGTCATTGGCCCAGTCTTTGGCAGATTGGTTCCAGGGATTCTACTCCAACCCATTCGATGTTCTCTGACTGAAAGGATGCATTTGCCCCATCTGGGAACTTAAGACCCTAAATGCTTTCATTTGGTTCCAAAACTCCTGCATGGAATACATCAGGTGTGTGAAAGCCTCCGTCCGGCAGGGAGACTTTTTGGCCTCTGTGGACATCAAGTACATGTAGCTGCATGGCCCCATTTTTATAACTGTGGGTGCTCTGCATCTAAATTTTGTTGACCATGCCATTTGGCATGTCTTCAGGCATTTGATACTGTGCTACCATTACTGTGCGAGAAGAGCATATGAGCTGGCAGTCTTGTATAAGACCAGGAAGGGCTCTTTACATAGGTACAAGATGGTGTTGAGGCCTAAACCTTCCTTTCTGTCCATGGTAGTTTGTTTTTTCCCTCAACCAGGACATTGTTTTTTTTCATCCCTCTAGCTGTCTACCTGCAGTTCATCAGGGAACTTCTTCATTACCTGGATATAGTTTAGGCTCTGCGGGTATAATTTGCAGCCATCACTTTTGTTAGAAAGACCAACTCTCTTTATCATTCCTGATGTGTACCGTAAAGGGAAACCTGCTTCTCTCTCCACCATTTCTCAGTGGCTCAGAAAGACCACCATCCAGGCGTATGGCCTCAAAGATTGGTTTCCACCCTTCCCTGATCTAGGTTCACTCTTTGAGATCTGTTGGTGCTATTTAGCGTCAAGCTACTGTTTCTCCAGCCTGTAAGGCTGCTGCCTGGTGTTCTGTTAACACGTTCTCTGAGTTTTACCGGGTGAATTTTCAGGCCTCGTCTGATGGCAGCTTTGGGCAAAAGGTCCTTCAGGATGCTTTTTGAACTTCAGGCAGCCCCCAGGTATGTGCTTTTTTTTTTTTTTTTTTTTTAATGTGTGGTCTTGTTAGCAGTTTGTCTGCTGTTGCCCTCTTCTCCGTTGGACTGATTTTAATGTATCAATAGTATCAGTATTTCTGTGTTCCTCAATGGCTGCCAAGAAAAGGAATATACAGTGAGTACAAAAATCTTATTGTCTTCCTTTTGTGTTTTACAGTGTGCGAAATGCAAGGACTCTTTCCATGGTAATCCAGTGAACGGCCGTCAGTGTTACAGACTCATGACAGTTGAACAAGAATACTGCTTTGACCCAACATCGCAGAATAACTGCTTTCATGAACCCAACATCCAAAACTTACCCTATGGTCGAAGTGTCTTTTTTGGAGTCCAGCCCAAGTTCACCAACGTGGATATTAGAGTCACTGTCGACGTGACTTTTGGCTCTGTAGATGTGTTTGTGTCCACCTCCCCAGATAGCTTTGCCGTTGATGTTGACCCATTAACAGGTGTCCATTCTGTCAGAGTTTACAGATTATCAGATAATGATGTTCCTGGAGGTCCAGAGCCACTAACTGTTGCATCAGTCAATAGTAGTCGATTACATACTGTTAACAGGTCGAGTTGGCTTCGTGAGGAACGTCCAAAAGGACTGATTACCTACATTACAGTTCGCAATCAGCAGACGGTACTGATAGTTCGGGGTGTCAAAGACCGTGTGGTCATTACGTACCCTCATGAGCTCCACACGTTGAAAAACAGTCGTTTTTACCTTCTGCTTTTAGGTAATTCAACGACAGGATTTGGAGAATCACAAGGACTGCTTTTCTTCCGTCAAGACCAAGCGCATATAGACCTCTTTGTCTTCTTCTCTGTGTTCTTCAGCTGCTTTTTCCTATTCCTGTCTGCATGTGTCCTGCTCTGGAAAGTAAAACAGTGGCTCGATGTAAGGAGGGAGCAAAGACGGCACCTGCAGGAGATGAGCAAAATGGCAAGCAGGCCATTTGCCAAATTGACAGTCTACTTCCACCCGGACGTCGAGATGGTTGGATGTCACCCTGGAGGACCAGTCTTACCCTCGCTTCAACATCACCACCATCATCATCACCACCATCACCGCTCCAAACCAAGAGTGAAGTCCTACGACCCATCGACCCCCCAACCTCCCTCGTTACGTCACTCTGATCCATTCTTGTCTCAGCTATTAGGGTATACCTATTGCAACTTTAGAGTTGGACCGATAACATTAGAACCCACAGATGATGGTATGGCTGGTGTTGTCACTTTACTGTTGCAGCTTCCTGGAGGAGCCCAGGCCCCTAACAGAGCCTGCTTGGGATCAGCACTTGTAACTTTACGCCACAACCTACAGGAATACTGCGGCCCCAGCCATGTGGTCAGCAGTTCCCGTAAGGGACTTCTCAGCCATGAAAACCTCACTAGCATGTCCCTTTAAAGGTGGATCTCTGGTAGTAGAGACACCAACCACAGACTTTTGGAGACTTTAAGTTATAAAACGGTGTCATAACACTTTGAACAGCTGAAAACAGCTCTTCAGTTTCACCACTGTGTGTGGGAAAGAACAAAAAACACCGCAAAGGACTAAGTAAGGGCGTAATGGCCTGAGCCTGAGTAAGAAGAACAAACTACATTATGAACTTTTTTTTATCTAAGGGGGGAGGTTATTTATGATGGTTTAGTGCAATCTGATTTTTCTTAATGAGGTCTGGGTAGGAACAAAACACTGCTTCCTAGGTCATTTCACAAAGTCCTAGCTGCTGCGTGTCTACAGCTCTTGTGACCAAGGCTTTTTCTAGAGAAATCTCTAACGGGAGCAGATACAGATGTGGTGTCTGTGGTTCCTTGGCTGTTGCGAGACTTCACATTTCATTTTTATACCACCAGCTAGACACTGCAAATTCAACCACTACGCCTTATGGACAAGTTTCTGTACTGCAAACAGTTTAAATTTCCTCCCCGATTACTTTTTACTGGCAAAATAAAGCATTTAGGTTAAAGTCCTGGGGAAGAAAATTTTAATTGTTTGTAGTAATGTTAGGGACGATGGCAATGCACTGTATAGACCAGTCCAACCGATTCGGGTTTCTGTACTGTTCTTGTTGCCTGTAGTAGCCAATCCAAGCATTAGAAACAAAAAAAAAAAAGGAAATACGGTTGGTTCCTGTGGACAGCAAGAACACTTCCTTCAAATGGTTGTAACGTTTATTCTTGAGATCTAATGTATGAAATGTGCCTGTCATCCCGTGTGAGAAGAATTCTGGTATTCCATTAGCTGATAATCTTTCTTCGGTAAGTGGTCATGGGTTAGGATGAGGACATCAGAAGGAAGTCTTCTTAGGCCTAGTTCACACAGACAACAGATCAGCAAAGTGTATAGGAATGTCTTGCAAGCTTTTAGCCAGGTTCAGGCTGCTTTCTTGACATCTTTAAAGGATAACTGTATTTACAGTCATCCTTCAAATGCAGGATCCCCCAGCAAGTCCTCCACTTATAGACCAGGATTATTGGAGAGCTACCCTAGGTGCAACACAATCTCATTACAGAAAGTTTCCTAGCTGGTCTGAGCAGGCAACCAGTAATGCACCAACATTTGATGGTTTCCCCATAGGAATGTATGGAAAACATACTTCTCAGGGAAACAAGGCGCCAGTAGTTCCACCTCAGATCTTCATGGAGGACCCACTGCGGGGAAGGGGGATCTGCACAATAAACAAAAAAAAATGTCAGAAAATAGTTATTCTTTTGAAAGGGCAGTCTTGGGGAAAAAAATGCATCTCAGTGCAGACACTTGGAGGTGTCTCTTCTTTATGTTTGTTTTTTTTTTTTTTTGGGGGGGGGGGGGGGGCAGGTTTATGTAAAGTCAAAGTTTAGCTAAAAGATAAAAAAAAAACTTACAAATCAGCACAAGGGGCATAACTTACAGTTAGTATAATCTGTCCCTTGTGTTGATTCTTTCGTTTCAGTAGAATTCTTTCTCTGTCCCTACCCCTCCACCCTAATCTTCCGATGCAGCGGGGGTTTATACAGTTAAGGGGTCTGTCAGGAGTTTTCATCAAGAGAGTTTGACTATGCCTGCTTTTTCCAGCCAGCTTTACTACAGCTTATATGAGTGGCACAGGATCTATGAATAGAGGAGGTGGAGCTTTCAGTCAAATGCTGTCTTCATTCATAGAAGCTGTAGTACTGCAGACATTGGGGTTGATTTACTAAAGGCAAATAGACTGTGCACTTTTGAAAGTGCAATTTCTCCAGAGCTTAGTAAATGAGCTTAAGCTTCACTTTGCAAAGAATACCCAATCGAGTGCAAGGAAAAAAAGAAAACAGCATTTTTGCTTGCACATGATGGGATAATGGCAGTCAGTAGAGCTTCTGCTCAATTACTAAGCTCTGGAGCAACTGCATTTTGCAAAGTGCACAGTCTATTTGCCTTTAGTAAAATCAACCCCATAGACTAGCGTTTTGTCGATAAGAGCTTATGAAAAGCTCCTTAGCTGTAATAACCCCCACCACACCTGAAGATTTAGAGAAGAGTAAAGACCAGAGGCAGACTGACAACTCATGGGGCCCCCGGGCAATAGGGGATCATGAGGCCCCTATGTCCTTGCTCAAACTCAAAAAAACCTATGAAAAAAAGGTACCAGGGGCATCTCGTGGGGCCCCCTACTGACCCCGGGCCCTCGGGCAGTGCCCAAGTTTCCAAATGGTCAGTCCGCCCCTGGTAAAGACAGATGAAGATTTCCACTGAAACAAGAATTAACACAAGGGGTGCATCAACTTAACTGTAGGTTATGTCCCTTGTGCTGATTTTTATGTTTAACCAAAATTAGGCTTTAAAGCCTCCCTTCAGCTGTCTGGTAGCTTTGAATGTAGATCCTAATGGAAGTGCTGCCTGTATATTTCAAGTAAAGACATCAGAAGTAAAAAAAACAGAGCATATCATGAAAAATATACAGTTAGATGTTGCCTGGAGTGAAAGGTGCATGTCAGAAGGATCAGCTTGGCTACAACTCCCCCCCGCCTTTGTAACCCAACTTATTTGATCAGGGATTCTATATATCACAAAAAAAAAAAAAAAAAAAAAAGGAGTGGGCGGGGCAAAAATAAACAAAGATCAGTGTGGCTTTTGGAGAAGAAGATTACCATGTGAAAGTTTATTAGCAAGATTCAGCAGTGCCATAGTTGCTAACAAAGTGTTTAAAGCTACAAGTATTGATGATAATCCTGCGAGCAACCAATATAAAACAATCCCTCTTAGGCTTCATGCACACTGAACGATATATATATATATGTCATGCACACTGGACGCTATAAAAACACCAGTAGCGTTAGCTGTAGCATTCTGCAATAAAAATGTAAGTTTTTTTTCAAGTTTTTGCATTAGCTTTTTTCAGTGTTTTTTAGTGTTTGCAGTTTTTAGCAAAATTATAATCCCACAAAATCTTTAGGTTCATAAACGCCGGATCGCCGTGTTTTTTTTTAGCGCTTTTCAGCCTTCCACAGCGTTTGAGCTTTTTTTTCAGCTAAAAAACTCTTGAAACCCACTAGTCCTGGGGTTTTTTTTCCAGCCAGAAAACGCTCCAGCCAAAAAACCTTGATTAAAGCCTATGTGTGCATGAACACATAGGATAACATGCTGGGGAGTTGACTAGCTGTAGAAAAACATGCCAGAAGCCCAAAACAGCCGCTGTAAAAATGTCCAATGTGCATGAGGACTTAGGCCAATTATGAGTGTTTTTGAGCCTGAAGATTTTGAGAGAGTATAACTTTGCTAAAAAACGATGAAAAAAGTGAATGCAAAAAAGCTAGAAGAAAAACCTCACGTGTTTATTGCAGCATTCTACAGCTAACTGTACTGGCATTTTTATAGCATCCAGTGTGCATGAGGCCTAAAAGTTGCTCACACACACACATTATATATATATATATATATATATATATATATAAATAAAATGTATCAAATCATACCGTAAACATATATTAGTGCAACACCTCCCAATAGTAAAGTACCCCTTGTGACAATACCTAAATTATTATTATACAGTATTTATAAAGCGCCAATGGTTCGCTCAGCGCTGTACATTACAAAATCAATGAAGAACGTGTAAAAAAAGTCCCATATAATAATGTGTATTTCTTGATGATCTTCCAATTTTGCACCAATTCACAGTTCTATTCAACCAAACTCTTCAGAATCATAAATTGTGCTCCTCCACCATCACCCAAGATGTGCTCTCACCTGGAGCTTTTGACCTCACATTAGAAGGTTTGGTCATGAAGCGCTTGTGTCCTGCCTCGGGGAAAGCGGACGTCATGACGCTCGCGAGATCAACAGATGGGTAACATAAGGAGAGCCTGTGATTGTTATTTTATGCAGTGTATGTTTAGGTCGATTGATTACCACCATGAAAATGTGAGTGGCATTCTAATGCTTTTAGCAGTAAAGCGTTTTTAAGGATAAAACACTATTTCTGCCTATTTCCTCCTTTTTTTTACGGAGTGAATAAGGAGGAGGAGGCACGATAGAAGCACTAGAGAATGGAGATCGATCGGGGAATTATAATTCTAATAGTCAGACTAGGGCACAGGTGTCAAACAAGCGGCCCTGCAGCTGTTGCAGGACTAAGGCAAGGTTCACATCTGTGTGGGTGGTGCAGCTGTAGATCCACACGAAAATCCGTGCAGCCGCACCACCCGCACAGAGAAATGCGGACCCACGGGCGGGTGCCATTACTTCTAATGGCACGCCGCTCACACTGGAAAACGCAACCGTACTGAAAACCAAGTTTCCCGCGTGGGCTGCGTTTTCAGAAGTGCAGGGACTTCTTCCCTGCGTGTCACGGGGCACGGGAGTCCATTCAAATGAATGGGTTCTCGTACCCACGGAAAACACGGCCTGTACGGCCGCATATATGTGAACCAGGGATAACAAATGGGGTGCTTTAACGCGATACACATTTGGTATTGCAGCACATTGTAAAGGCGTAAATGTTGTCTCATGTCAAAATTCTATTTAAATGCAAAGCTTTGCTTACAAGTAGTAATAATAATAATAATAATAAGTCCATTGAAATGAATGAGCTCTCGTGCCCACACAAAACGTGGCCCTCACGGCCGCATATATGTGAACCAGGGCTAAAAGTTCCATATGGCACTTCAATTCTGACAGTTACAAGCATGACTCCCACAGGCAGAGGCATGATGAGACTTGTAGTTTTGCACCAACTGGAGGGCCATCAGTTTGACACCCCTGCACTAGGAGAACACAAGCGCTTCATGACCAAACATTATAAAATGGGAGGTTAAAAAGCTCCAGCTGAGAGCACATCTTGGGCGATGGTGGAGGAGCACAATTTAGGATTCTGAAGAGTTTGGTTGAATAGTGCTGTGAAATGATGCAAAATTGGAAGATCATCAAGAAATACACATTAGTGAGTA